CGATCGCTGCTTGGAGACTGGCTGGGCATTGGTCAGTGGGTGGTGAGCAATTGCATTGGGCATCACTTGTTTTGTATATTCTTTTATCATTATTATTATTATTTTCTCTTCCTCTGCTGTCCTATTAAACTGTCTTTATCTCAACCCACAGGTTTTACTTTTTTTTTTCCCCCCAGTTCTCTCCCCCATCCCATCAGGGAGGGGGGTGGGTGAGCAAGCAGCTGTGTGGTGCTTAGTTGCCATCTGGGGTTAAACCACAACACCACAATATTAATCTGTGCACTTTTGGTGTACAGTTCTGGTGCCTCCCAGAAGGAAGGATAAAATTAACTGGAAAATGTTTGGAGAAGGGCAGCAAGGATCATAAAAGGTAATAAATGTTTTCTGTGTGAGGAAATACTTGGTAAATGGTTATGACTGGTATGAAGATGATGGATGGGAATTGACTGTTCACTGCCTCTCTCAGTAATAAACATCATGGGAAAGTATGAGAAGTAACGTTCAGAACGAACAGAAGGAACTGATTCCCCCTGCAGCAGGTAGAAGGATGTTAAGGATACTGAAAGTTTGCATGGAATCAGCAGATAAGTTTGTGGAGGAAAGCCCATGGAGGAAAGCCCATGGAGGGTTACAGAACACATAGAAATCACAATGACACAGGAAGTCCATGAGCAGAAAATAGTGGGTAGGTGAGAAACTATTAGGAAAAGCCTTTATATACATTTGACATGGTTTTCCTTTTCTCTAGCACCTATTTATGGCATTTGTAGAGACAGAATAGTAGGCTAAAGGAACCCACCATCTGATCAAGTAGGGCTTTCATGCCAGAAAATGTTTATTTACTTATTTAAACAACTTTAATCTCACAGCAGATTTGGTGAAACATCATGAATGAAGTCAGTAGGCTTAATTCTTCCCCTCATATGCCAGCACCATAAGAAGGAAATAGGGGAACTTTTTGCAAGTGTTCTTTACAATATATATCCTTCATTTTAATAAGCTTTTCTTTAAAATTTTCCCCTTGCACTTCTACTGATCTTGAGGAGGTCTGTAGGAACCTGGATGTCTACACCAATTCTTGGATCTAATCATTCTCCCTCGGTCTTTTTTAAATATCTGTTAATCTTTCCAGTTAATTTATCAATAGCATGGATAATGACTGGTCACATATGCCTGGTCTATATAATGTTTTGAAAATATATAAAGCATAAATGCAAATTTGCATAGCAGCATTAACAGAGACAATTTTCATTTCTGTTATCTTGAAGAAAGAAAAATTACAGATATAATGCTTAAAATCATAAATTAGTTAAGTGAAGATTTTCTGATTATTTTTAAGTTACTCTATTTCTTCTAAGAGAAGTGTAAAAATTATATCTGGTAAACAATGCTAACAGATACATTCTGTAACATACTGTAGTAATAAATAACTGCATTCTATGCCCTCCTACTCTGTACTGAATACAGCTTGATTTTCAAGACAATTCAACATTGTTCTTGGAACAACTCTGATGATAGAGTGTTTGGGAAATCAGTTAGAAGAACAAAATGTACAAAAGTACAGCTCTAATGGGTAAAGGCCTGATGGCCAGCCTCTAAGATGCTACTACTACTAAACATCTGTTAGAAAATGAAACATTTTGGGACAGTCTAATGATCCCTGTCTTTATGTCCAGAGAGGTCAGTTCCTAATGCTTCAAGCAAGATACAAAAGTGCTTATAATGCTTATAATTGGGGAATGCTGAAAGGAAGGGTAGAAATTTGGCTTGAGCACACCTAGTAATAAGGTTATGTTGAAGCGTTGCCATCCTTTGTACTAATCTAGCTATAGAAGTTTATAGATACAGGGTCTTTACTCAGAGACAGTGGTATTTGCAAAAGTGCCCATTTGATTAAGGAACACTAATCGCATCAGCTTGCAATAGCACTGATGCAGTTCAGTCACCAGATGCTCCTGCAAATCCCATCTCTAATTTGCTTCAGTAATACTCCATTGCCTGTCCAGCTGCTCTGCCCAACTGCAAGGTAGAGAAAGGCTTTTAACACCACCTCTCTTGCCTCAGTGAAACCTGCCTTATAACCTGGTTACTTGTTGGAGATAAACAAAGTTGGGAAGCAGAGGGTTAGAACTGCCTCCTGTTCTGCTGTGCCACTGAAATTGGAAGTTTCTAAAATTTTCACTCTTGGTGCTCTTTTTAAAATAAAGTTAATTCAGAGGTCAGCAGTTACATCCCAGCTACATCACATGTCAAAATCTGCCAGAATTTATCTTCCTGAGAAATTTCTGCTATTGATTAATTTTTAATATTTGCTGTCCTCTTTTATGAGGAGTCAACACTGAGTTCATTGCTAACTGCTGTTTGAGAGTTCTTTTCATTAAGAGTGAGCTGCGTTGAAAATGTAAATAATGTGTATGTTTGTAGCATTAAATGTGCAGCATCCACCTCTGAAAGAACTATTTTGCAGCTGCACCACATTGAAACAAACAGCTGTCTCTGCTTATTGGCTATTTCTTTATTACTCCTCGAAATACAGGAGTATCTGTGGCACTGGTAGTTTCATTGCTAGAGGATCATAACATTAACGCATCTTTAAATGCACTGTGGCAAAGACAGTTGTAATTTCCTGTAGCATCAGTGCCATATGCCAACTCTACCTAAGTTCCTATCTCTAAAACATCCTTCACAATGCCTCCGGGTGACATTCGTGAATGAGTATAACTGTTGTTGCTTGTGTTGATTTCTTAAGATGAAAGATGTGGCTTCTGTGCCAGGTTACTTTGCAAGCTGAAAACTGAATCCAGGAACAATCTCCAGAATCTTGTCAAGTCCAAGTACTGAAGTTCCACTTCAAAGCCAGATTTGGATTTTTACTCAGTTATCTCAATCATGTGAAATCTTTCCTTTCCTCCCCTCACTCTTTCTCCATTCTCTCAACCAAACCAAATTCCCTTGTGTTAAAATGCAAGCTGTCTTTTCCTGCTG